GATGGCACTCACACGCCCATGGCAAACTGCCAAACAAGTCAAACTGAGTGATACCGCCATTTCTGCTCGGCATTGTCGTGCTGTCTTTCTTCGCAGAGCAGATGGTAGTGCCAACGGGAGCACTACTTGAGTGACATGGCTTCAAACACACTTTTCGTGCTTGAGTGAGTGGAGTTGACTAGGCCTCGGCTGAAACCGTTAGCTTAGCTGTACAGGGCTCTACGCGCTATGTCACATACACTTTCTTCGCTCTTAGTTTGTTTCTGTAGCTCACACATTGCTGTACATACGTGTCGGATGTGTGAGGCACCCGCTCTAGTGCTACGGCACGGGGTGCCCTGCAGCTAAAAGCTGCCCTGCACATAACAACTACTTTGTGCTTGACGGGCCTACGCTAGGCGTACTTCAGACTGTGCGCTGCGGGAGAATCGAAAAATCACAGGTCAATGCGGCTGTCACGCAGGTTGAACAGGTCAGTGTCCACACCATTGACATTGTGGCCGGCATGCTTGGGTGTTGGCTACATGAGTGGTTCCTTGCCGGGCAGCCTCTCCACAGCAGCCCATTGTGCAAAGCCTGGGACCTACGTACGGCGTACAAGCAATTGCCTCTTTCGGATGCATCGTTTGAGCTTGACAGTTACTTCGTTGTTTTCAACGGCCGAACATGTTCAAGCGAAATCTATCGGCAACGTGTCCTGCCATTTGGATCCACGGCTAGCGTCGCGAGTTTCATCAGGGCTGCTTATGCCCTGTGGAGGTTGGGGACCCTCGGCCTCGACCTAGTGTGGAGCGAATACTTTGACGATTACCTCAGCGTGTGTGGTCGAGAGTTTGCTCGACATTGCGACTTCGTGATCGCGCTGTTCTTTCAGCTCTTGGGCTGGGAAGTGTCTAAGGACAAGGAGCTCAGCTACGACTCGATGTGCACTGTTTTGGGGGTCCGAATAAACTTGAGGGATGCCAAGCTTGGTCTGTGTTTTCTCGGGAACACGGACAAGCGGCGTGCTGAGGCCATTGCTCAGATTTCTGCTGCTCTGACTTCGAATCAACTTGATCCTGCAGAGTGTGAAAAGCTTCGCGGGCGATTGCAGTTCGCGAGCTGCCAGATTTTTGGTAGGCGACCTAAGGCATCGCTTTAGGTGCTTGCTCAGCATGGGCGACAACGCAAGTGGGAGCTGGGTGCAGCTACACGCCTTGCATTGCTACAGCTGAAGCATTTCCTTGAAGAAGGTCGGCCTCGGCCTGTGCGCGCCAGGCGGGACGACTACGTGCATATTTATGTCGATGCATCCTTCGAACCGAATGGGCACTGCGGTTTGGGGGGCGTGGTTTTCTCTTCCTTGGGTGCTCCGCTTAGCTGGTTCGAACATAAGGTGGATGACGAGTGCATCGCAGTGCTGCGTACTGAGGGCAGCAGGGCCAAAGAGACTGTCATCTTTGAGCTCGAAGCCTTGGTGCTCAGCATCTGCCTCGATGTCTTTCGATCTTTTGTGGACCGCAAAGGCGTGGTCATCTTCACTGACAATGAAGGTGTGTTTGGATGTTTCGTCAGAGGCCATAGCGACGACATCATGTGCACACCTCTGATTGATTTCTTCGCGAGGTGTGAAGAGAGTCTTGAGACGATTTGCTGGATCGACAGAGTGCCTTCTTCGTCGAACCCTGCGGACGATCCTTCAAGGGGTCGTGGCTTTGCAGCGCCACATCAGTCGGTGGTGGACAGGGCTACGCTCAAGCAGGCGCTGCCACAAGTCTTTGGGTGAATGGGGCACATGTGCTCTGAAGGGGGTGCGGGATGTGCCGCATTCATTCCTGGAAGTCAGGACGTTAATAGTGAGCAAATCTTGGATGCCCCATGCCACCTTCGCGGAAAAGTTCGAGTCCGTGCGTTGCAACTTTCAATATGTGAAAGATATTTGATTATCAAGACTGAATCAAATATATGTGATTCAAGTTTTTAACTTTCTTCTTTCATATGGAAGTTCATATGATTGACTTCGGTTATGTTGTGAGCCATAACTTTCTCAGTGAAAATAAGATCTATCGCACAGTGCGCAGCTCCATCATGGGTGGGCTGAGCTGCATCTTCCAGCCGTACGCGAGGGCCAATCTGCCTGGTATGGATGAGTACGAGCCAGAGAAGGAGACGACTTTCGTCATGACCATGCCGATGCCCTGCTCCTCTGGGGAGTGGCTGCCGTTGCCGGAAGCACAGCCGCAGCGCCTGACCTGGCTACGAGAGCTGCTGGATGCTGTCGATCCCGAGGCTGAAGAGCAGATCTGCTACCTCGTCCTTTGCGACTTCACCTTCCCGCTGGAGCGCCACGACTCCCTGGGCTGGGCCCCTCCTGCGCGCATGAACGTCAAGCGCAGCCAGCTCAGTGATTACAGCCGCTCGATCATGGACGCCAACGGCCTGCAAGAGACCAGGGACACGAAGCTGGTGCCCTTCCTCGGAATGCACGTCAAGGAGGGCGTGGACGCCAAGCGTCTCAAGTTCATGATCGAAGTCATGGGCGCCGTGGTCACGAAAGTCCACTCCGTCATCAGCTTCAAATGCCGGCCCTGGCTGCGCGACTTCATGCGCGGCTGCTACGGAGAGCGGCTGGCCAGGAAGCAACAGGGGCAGCGTGTGGAGGCTGAGATGCTGAAGCTCGTCATGAACGCCATTTATGGCAAGGTCTGCCAGAACATGGAGGTCTACAAGAACACAAACCTCTACACTGACGAGGCCAAGTTCGTGCGCGCCATGAACGGACACCGCATGCAGGACTTCGACTGGCTTGAGGACGGTGGCGGGTTCCTGAGATTCATCCACAACGTCGGGCCCCGCCCCAGGCTGCAGAAGAGCCTCATTCAGGTCGGGTGGCGCGTCCTGGAGCTTTCGAGGCTGCTGATGATGAAGAACCACTACCTCGGCATCAAGAAGCTCTTCCCCAACGCGGTCCCGCTTTTCACGGACACTGACAGCATCACCTGCCGGATTGCCTCGCCCGTCCATCCGGCCCTGG